GTCAAACCAAAAACCTAGTGCATCATAGACATACCTATGTGAAAGAATAAGAAAAATATAATTTTACCTATATAACACATAATGTGGTACCTGTAAATGTACGGTATGTACTACTGCAAGACTTGTTGAGCTGATCTCAGATGTTAGTAAAATGATACATACATGTATACCAAAATAATTTGATAAATGCAGACCTAATTCACCTGCCATACTGCATTAGTCTATTCATTAAGTATTAAAGATAAGAACAAGTCATTGAAAATGACACAGTCCCAGTTAAATTTCTGGAAGTTCTTTTTATGCCCATCATATTAAAGCGGAGGGGTTGTTGCGAGCGTGTCCTTGAAACTTGAGTTCCAAGTGGTGTATACAACAGATTGTTTATTTACATCAAAACACGTGTTCCATGTAGTAGTAATATGGCCAAAATAAAAAGTCAGATGGCTGTCAATTGGCCATCCTTGACCAGATTTTGAAACAAATTATCATGGACATGCATTCTAACACGTATAAAGTACATGTATGTGCCAAATTTGAATGAAAACTGACAGAGCACGTTCAAGATACCATATAAAAAAAACAAGAACAAGATGCCTGCCAGTCAACCATCTTTGATCCAATTGTGAAATAAATCGTCATGGACATGTATCCTAACATGTATAATCTATGTACCAAGTTTGAATGACAACTGACAACATTTTCAAAAAACAAGATGGCTGCCAGTCGGCCATTTTGAATTGAATCACTAAACCACTGCATGTGCATATGTCCCATATTAGACCATGGGCCAGCCCTTGACCCACCTCCCCCCCTATAGGGTTTTTCAAGTTGATGTGTTTTACATACCTTAGGGTGTGTCTGACAAGAATCAGGTTGTCTGCCATCTGCCCAATGGTGGGCGTGGCCACACGACCGCCATTTTGAATTTATAATGAGAAAACGTGTGTGCAGGCGATTAAGATGAATTGTAGAGGGATATATATCAACTCACATGATTTATTTGTTCAATAATTATGTTGTAACACTAATGCAAACCACATGCATGTGAAAAATGTGTCAGTGTACTTCATCTGGCACTCATTTTAACTCC